TGCTCAGGTGGCTTGAAGGCACAGATGACATAGCAGAATGGCATGGTGGGAAACAGCTGCACACCACATGCGGCCCGCAAGCACAAGGAGGTGGGAGGGGACAGTGGTGAGAAGACACCCTTCCAAGTCAGTCCCTCGCTGACCTGAGCCTTCTGAACAGGCCCCACCTCTGAACATGAGACTCGGGGGGAATATTTTATGTCTCGGCCACGCCGGTATTTCAGCCTGGACAAGTTTACCCTTTCAAGCTACCACTGCATCCCCTGTCACCGTGAGTTCCACTGACACAGCTTTAAACTGCAGCAGCCTCACTTGCCAGGCGCATCTGTGGTCACCCCAGTCACTTGTTCATACCTAAGTGATTCTAAGTATCCGCACACAGCAGCCCAGAGGAAGAAGTAGGACAATTGACTCTTGTTCTCTTATTTTACCCGGGTGTTCCTGTGCCTTGGGTTAAGTTTCATTTGTATTTTTCCATTTGATCCTACTCTTCTCCACCCATCATGCTGAGCACTCAGGCTCTCATTTGCTGAATGAATAGTGGAGATGGTGGATCTAGATGATGGGGAAATAGAAGTGCTCTGGTCTTTCAGGCCGATGCACCAAAGCACTTCTTGCTCACCGGGCCCAGCCAGTCGCATACCTACGTGTTCAAGCAAGATGTCATGTTCTCCTCCTGCCCACAAGGCATGGTCTTCTTTCTCTTCCAAGATCAGACCACCCTTATCAGAATGTGGGATGAGACGATGTTTTTTCATCATACACTGGGGAGAAAATATCTGGCCCAGAACTGAGAAATGTGTGGGTCCAGAGTCATTTTCTCTTCTCTCAGATTCTTTCTCAGACTATTTGCTTCCTTATTCAGGAAAATCAGAAGACGTTACATAATAGATGGGCAGATTTGGGATGGGCGGGTCATAGGATGTGATGGAGCTACGGAATGCTCCCATTCCAAGAGAGTACAGTTGTTGCAGCAAAGTGAGACCAGCACTTGGCGTCAGTGAGAACTGAGCTCCAGACAAGTTTCCAGGACCTGCCTACGTAAATGTTTTCATCTCCACAAGCCCATGATTGCTCTTCAGGAACATAAAGTCTCTATTTTCTGTTCATAAGAGATTCCAAAAGGAATTTTCATGGAAATATTAACTGAAATGACATCCAACTAGATAATCTGTCCACCTAAGGGAGCGAGGTTCTGCACCACTGAATTTGAAATACGATCATTATATAAGCAATATGTCCCTATCCTGCCCTCAGAGACTTGTTGTCTCATCTCTGACTCTGGACAATCTGACACAATGGGTGTACAGTGAGTTAGAAGGGGTACTGCACAGGCACGCAGGTCTCTCAGACTCTGTGATCACAAGAAGATATTTGTGGCATCTCAGCAAAAGTAGGAAAAAGTGGGGCAGAAAGCAATGGAAAAGACCGAAACAGTGCTTCAAGAGACCAGGGCAAAACAGCACCAAATCACCATGGCATCTTTTCCTTTCATGTGGAAGATGTATTCACTCCTTAATGCCTGAATTACTAAGTTTTCATACTATAATGAGGTAATGAATCCCAGCTACTTCATAGAAAGAGGCTTATTTAACTCATAGTTCTGGGGATTCAAACACATTTATGTGGGTGGCTTTCTTGTTGTAGGGTCCTGAAACAGTATGACGTTTAACATGACAGAGACAGGGAACTTGTGATTGTATGACTGTATGGCTGTCACACCTGTATTTGTCCCTCTTCTTGCACATCTCCAGGATTCAGTCGTGAGCATCCTGTCTTAATGTCTCCCACTAATTGTGCTCACCTTCCAAAGTCCCTGTCTCTAGAGGCCATCATTCAGTTAAATTTCCCAATTAAACTCCCATCCTCTTAATACTTAACAGTGGGGATAAATTTCACTACACTAAATCTTGAAGGATTCCTAGATGCTTTCCAAACCACAACAATAACTCTCTGACACGTTACAACACTGTATGCGCTCATTCTACTTTGAGGCTCTTGTCAATTGGATCAATATTCCAGAGTGATAGAGTGTTACTCAGCTTTCCTACTGGTAAACTTCCAGTGAGAAACATTGTGGCAGAAACGTGTGGTGGAGCAAAGATGTTCAGTTCATGGCAACTCCTGAGCAGAGCACTGTGACTGTTCTGTGATATCGAGAAAAATAATTTTCAAAACAAGATACAGAGCACCAAGGTAAAAATGGCACAATGAAAACCTTCCTGAAATGATTCAGGTTAAAACAAGACCAAAAGCCATAGGGCAAGCATCAAATCCTGTAGTTCCAGATTAACAACCATGAATGAAATGTCCTGTGCAGATATGAGGTCTATCTAGAGTGGTAAGGAAGACCCACCACCCTATGACCTCAGCCTTTGGATCCCATGTTGCCTTTCTTTTGTGGGCTCTTTTCACAGACCATTTTTCCTGGCATCTCCTATTCCTTGAAGTCTCCAGAGGACCATTGGTTTTATTTCTTTGATTACACATATTGCACTATCTGAGTTTCCTTCACTGGACTCTCAGAGATTTGTTTGAATTCTGAGTGGAGGCCTTCCTGACACCACAGCTCTTGCATTCTGCATGACAGTAAAACCAGCATTGAAAAGAAAAATAGTTTCCTGTTTAGTTTATTGGTACATTTAAAGCAAACAATACAGTTACATTTATCACTGGGATCTTGTACCTTTACGTGATATGGCTTGGTTCATATTTTCTCCCCATATCCCTGCAAAGACTTTCTTTTAAATATTTCCTTTTTTCATATTCTTTCTTTTTCCTTCTCATTCTACTTTGAGGCTCTTGTCAATTGGATCAATATTCCAGAGTGATAGAGTGTTACTCAGCTTTCCTACTGGTAAACTTCCAGTGAGAAACATTGTGGCAGAAACGTGTGGTGGAGCAAAGATGTTCAGTTCATGGCAACTCCTGAGCAGAGTACTGTGACTGTTCTGTGATATCGAGAAAAATAATTTTCAAAACAAGATACAGAGCACCAAGGTAAAAATGGCACAATGAAAACCTTCCTGAAATGATTCAGGTTAAAACAAGACCAAAAGCCATAGGGCAAGCATCAAGTCCTGTAGTTCCAGATTAACAACCATGAATGAAATGTCCTGTGCAGATATGAGGTCTATCTAGAGTGGTAAGGAAGACCCACCACCCTATGACCTCAGCCTTTGGATCCCATGTTGCCTTTCTTTTGTGGGCTCTTTTCACAGACCATTTTTCCTGGCATCTCCTATTCCTTGAAGTCTCCAGAGCACCATTGGTTTTATTTCTTTGATTACACATATTGCACTATCTGAGTTTCCTTCACTGGACTCTCAGAGATTTGTTTGAATTCTGAGTGGAGGCCTTCCTGACACCACAGCTCTTGCATTCTGCATGACAGTAAAACCAGCATTAAAAAGAAAAATAGTTTCCTGTTTAGTTTATTGGTACATTTAAAGCAAACAATACAGTTACATTTATCACTGGGATCTTGTACCTTTACGTGATATGGCTTGGTTCATATTTTCTCCCCATATCCCTGCAAAGACTTTCTTTTAAATATTTCCTTTTTTCATATTCTTTCTTTTTCCTTATTTCCTTTTCCCTACCCTTCCCACATCCCCTTTAGCCATTTTCATTCATTTCACACTATCAACTATGCCATTTCAACCTTATTTACACTTTTCATTTTTCACAACAGTGAAACTATTTGGTATTTACTTAAATGTGTTTTTCGTATTTCACTTGAGTATAGCTTCATTTTGCATACGTTTAGCTATAAATGTCTCAGTTTCTCATTCTTTATGGCTGAGTAGTACTCCGTTGTATCTTCTTTATCCAGTCTCCAGTTGATGGGCATTTGTTGTTTACAATTGGGGGTCAAATGGGAACTCTCATCCTAGTACTTTGAGGAATCTCCATATTGCTTTCCACAGTGGTTTCACCAGTCTGCTCTCCCACCAACAGTGGAGAAGGCTTCTTTTCTCCCCACAGCCCCACAATCATTTTAATGGGTAATAGCAGAGGGATAGCTGGGTCAAATGGGACCTCTCATCCTAGTACTTTGAGGAATCTCCATATTGATTTCCACAGTGGTTTCACCAGTCTGCTCTCCCACCAACAGTGGAGAAGTCTTCTTTTCTCCCCACAGCCCCACAATCATTTGTTAATGGGTAATTTCTGATAGCAGATATACTTTCTGGGGTAAGGTGTATTCTCAGTGTTGTTTTCATCTGCTTCTCGCAAGTAGCCAGTGAT